TGTCTCTTTGATCTGTTTTTTTTTTTTCTTACCTTTCCCTGTACGTCTCTGTGCATCCGTCTCTCTTTCACCTTTTCTCTCTCGCACACACGGACACACACAGACTTACAGACCGACACACACGCATTCTCGTCGTTTTTCCATTAACGCACCTGCACCCAAGTCCACACTTACAGCAGCAGATATTTCAGGCGCGGCCGAGACAAGAATACACGGCTTCCGCTTGGTCTTCAGGCTCAAAAGAGGCAGCACGTGGACGGTCTGGTTTCCTCCATTAAATGAAAAAAAAAAAAAAAAAAAAAAAAGAAATGTCTGTTGATGCTAGTGAAAAGGATTCTCGATGCTCTATGACCCACGCAGATGTCGTTTGCCCGAAATTCATATTTATATCCACCTTCCTTTGTAAGTCTGTTTATCCCCATGTTGACAGAGTAAAGCGGATGCATGACGATTACTACACACGATATTTACACACACCTTTTTTTAATGCATAATTCTTTACAGTCTCCCGCTTACACTCTCTCTATTCTACTGTTTCTGTCTCTATCTTTCTCTGTTTGTTTTGCCATTTATCTCTACTCTCCCCTCCACTCTCTCGCTCTCTTTATGTTTGCTTATCTGTTACATGTTTCCGTTCGCTTTTTCTCTCTCTTCCCCTCTTTCTTTCTCTTTCTTCAGCATACACACACACACACATCCGTCTTCTCTCTCTTTATTGCCATATTTCTCCGACACTGCTTCTTTTTCATCTTTTTCTCGTCTTTCCCTTTTCGTTACGTTTTTTTATTATTCTTTCTCCCTTTATTTTCTTATCCCTACCTTTCTTTATTTTTCTTTCTCTTTTTCTATCTTCCATCTTCATTTAATGTTTCGCTTTCTGTTTTCTTTTCTTTTTTCTTTTCTAATCATCTTCTTTGTATGTTTCTTTTTCGCCAGTATTTCCTCTTCTCTTCATTCATTCATTCATTCATTCATTCATTCATTCATTCATTCAATCTTTCATTCTCCCACTTCTTATTCTACCAGTCGCGATGTATATGATCCCACAAATCTTTCACGGAAGGACAGACACCCAATTCCAAGTAGAGAACAATTTGGGCTGAACACTGCAGGTTCGAACCTCAATACCGATTTTTTATTTTTATTCCATTTTCCCCCTCCTATGAACCATTGAAAATGAACCATTCTTGAACAGACATAACAAAAATTTATCCACAAACTCCCTAAGTCATCGAATCGGAGAAAAAAAAGACATTGAGGATAATTTACGAATGAATTTAAACACCGGTTTTATTTTGTTTACGAAATTTTGTTGTCAACAATGAAAAATTTATCCTTTTGAAAAAAAGCGGGAATATGTCATCGAATATATTTTATGTTTTATTTGTATTTGTGTTTCTATTCGAAATTGAAACAATTGTTTAACAAACTTTCATTTTATACATAGCACACAGGCCCTGCACGCACACAGTCATATATATATATATATATATATATATATATATATATATATATATATATATATATATATATATATATATATATATATATATATATATATATAAAATATCATTTCTATTAACGTTCTATCACTGTCTTCGATATTGAGCACTCTACCACAAACCCTGTTGCCTTTAAATGCCTTTTCTATCAGCAAACCACTGAAAATCAGTTTTGGTTTCAAAGTCAGTATATATATGTATTATATATATATATATATATATATATATATATATATATATATATATGCATTTTTTTTTTTTAACCCGATACTATATCTTATTCCTGTAAACGTTAACTTTAGTGAGTACACATTGTTTTAGTTACTTTTTTCATTTTCGCAAACGTTATTTTTATTTATTTTTTTTTTTTTCTTACGTGGTGGATTTTTTTTATTTTTTATTTTCTTAAACGGTAATTTTATTTATTTATTTTGTTTTCATTTTTATATTTTCTTAAACGGTGAATTTTATTTATTTATTTTATTTTTATTTTTTTTACTTTCTTGGTGAATTTTTTATTTATATTTTTTTTTATTTTCTTAAACGGTGAATTTTTATTTTATTTATTTATTATTTTCTTAAACGGTAAATTTTATTTTCTGTTTTTATTTTTTTTATTTTCTTAAACGGTGAAATTTTTGTTTTCACTTTATTTTTATTTTTTATTTTCTTAAACTGTGATTTTATTTTTTAATTTATTTTATTTTCTGAAACAATGGAATTAATAACAACAGGCCTACAAATGTGAACTTGTTTTTCTCGACAAGAACCTAGCCTCGATCTCTTTTTTCCTTTTGGAAGGAAACCTGTATCATTTTCCCTATTGGAGTGGTTTTCCTGATGGGAAAATGGATATAGGTTTCATTCCTCTAGCAAGATAAAGTTATTCTTTAGGATTTCGCCATGGAATCCGCTTGTTAAAAAAATATAAATCAGCGATACCAGCTCAAACGTGTGTACCCACTAAAAATATCTATCATATATATATATATATATAT